GATGATAGCATGTAACTTGCTGTTGTTCCGACCCTTTAGGATAGGTTTGTACGTGAGAATGTAAAAGACCACCTCCATAGCCCATATTTTTGAGGGTGATTTTGGAACCGTATGCCAATTCTACAGGAGGAAGATATTAAAAGATTTTGGAAAAGTCTGATAAATGGATAATCAAGAGAACGCGGGTAAAGATCGCGAGACGTACCTATGGGATTTTCGGAAAAACTATTACCATTAAGACCAGCTTGGAACAGGGAGCTCATCTGAGCATCACCCGGACCACTGTTATGAAGTATTGCGAAATGTAATACGAAACTGAGCACGTATATGGAAGCTGGCAATAATATCAAACAAAGAATTCTTGCAACCCAATGCTTAATGTAATCAATCTTTATCACAATAATATTTAAATTAAGATGCGTGAATGAAAAAGTTGAACATTAGATAGAATATTCGGCAATCGAATAATAAAGGAGGAAAGTTTTTTCTCACCTTAGGCATGCTTAAGTCGCCAAATTTTTCCCAAAGGTCATCGATGGTGTAAAGACCAACCAGAGCAGTGGCGAAAAGGCCAACCCATTTGACACTTAATATGGGCAGAAAGAAAAAATATATTAAACATAAATAAATCTTTACATGAACTCGATGCCTCAAGCCCGTAACAGTAACCGTAGTTGATCTACCTGGACACACATCCGATTGAAGTTCCGGTTAAGATTAGCCAGAACCACCATTCAAATGAAAAAGCGCTATACATATTTGGTTAAGAAGTGTCAGGAAAATTTACAGGCATAAACTTAAATTTTATAGGAAAGGAAAGAAATATTTACGAATTGCGCTGATTATGAAACTTGGTCAAAAAGAATACAGTGGTGAAAGTGAAAAATAACAGCATCGAATCCAGAAGGATAAATCGACTAATGGTAAGGTATGACATGTCTATTGATAGAAAAATCCGTTATGTAAGATATCATGAGGACAAAGAATGAAAAGTTTGACAACGTACCGAACAAAACCATTAACGACACGAGAATCGTGGCCCTTCGAGAGAAATCTAATTCAATTGCGGTAAAGTATGCCAAGGGAGCCATCCAAGCACCAAACGAGGCCAAAAATACCCTCATGAACGTATAATTTAAATCTTCGGGGTATTCTACACCAGATTCGAAGCTAAAAGACCCGTTATAACCAGCCAGATAACCTGCAAGACCGACAATCATTTTCCCGAGTGGTGGATGCACGTCAAAGTAGAATTCGCGTTTGAGATAAT